TCGTTAGCTAAGTAAAATAACTGCCATGATTTACACCTAATATTCTATATTAAGAATAATAAGTATAGATTTTATTTTACCATAATATTGTTTTTTTGTTTTTATTTCAAGCTAAGAAATCAAGTTAAGATTTTGGTGTTTGGGTTTGATATATATTTTGACTAAATGTGTCTTTTGCTTTAGCTCTCACGGTTAAGTTTATTCTCTGTTCAGTAAAACAATGATTCTGTGTCTTTCAGGCGTCGTTGGTCTCACATTCATTATTAATAAGTTTCGTGTTGTGAAGCTGACCAAAAAAGACCAGTTCATTGTGGCCTACGGTGGCCTGCGAGGTGCAATTGCCTTCTCTCTCGGTTTCCTTCTGACCCACGAGATGAAGGACCTGTTCCTCACCGCCATCATCACGGTCGTCTTCTTCACCGTCTTTGTGCAGGTGCGTTTATTAAAGCATGGAGGTATAAAATGATTATTCTGTTTATAAATCTTTTTTTTTATTATAAATTAGTATTTATTTGCGGTAACTTCTGTCTCCATCCTCAGGGGATGACCATCAGGCCTCTGGTGGAGCTCCTCGCTGTGAAGAAGAAGAAGGAGAGCAAAGCGTCTATAAACGAGGAGATCCACACACAGGTGGGGCTTTCAGTCGTTCCTCCTAACGATGTAAAACATTTGCACCTTTTTCAAACTTTTCATTAAAGATGCACTAAATGGTACATAACAGGATTTTTCATATGCATGTTGTCAATAGTTCCTGGATCACCTGCTGACAGGAATCGGGGACATATGTGGACATTATGGACACCATCACTGGAAGGACAAGTAAATCTTTTCTTCTGTTTTTGTTAAAGAACCAGAATTATTAGATCTGTCTGCTTAAAATAAATTAGGTATTGAAAGAGTTTTTACAAAAAAAATAATGATAAAAAAAAAAAATTTGTTTGCAAACGTCCCAAAATCAGGCTCCAACTTTTGAAGCACGATCCATCCTGCGCCATCAGCTTATTGGTGCATCCAGATATACATCCGGGTCCTCCTCGATTTTATTTTGTTAAAAAGACCTAAATGACTTTTTTCCCTCCCCAAAAATAGTAAGCGTACTAAAATATAATGTGTTAAAGGTTAATCATGTATTTCTTGAGAAAATTAATGCCTTAAAATCCTTATTTTTTTATCGGTCATCTGTTCCTGATCTTTCGCTACTTTCGGGAGCAAACTTTTTCAGCTTTGGATTTAATCATAAATCTAGTCTTTTTTTTTAGTTTGAATGTTTTCCTTTTGTTTTAACCTTATAGTATATAGTGCATAATTAAAGAAAGAAACAATTAAAATGCAGATAAACATAGTTTAATTTTGCTGGACTGCTCTGATCATGTCTGATGATGACCTCAGAGAAGCAGTCTAACAAAAAGAAATGTAAAAAGCATAAAAATTGTCTCACAAAAGTCATAAAACATTTTTTAAAGAGGTTTATTAGCATTCTTTAATGAGTTAAGGATAGAAATGAGTAATTTTAGTATCATAATTACAGTACTTATGGACACCCGGATGTGTATTTATTCACGCATGCGCAGGACGGATGGTGCTTCCCGGACAGATCGGGTAATGGCAGCATCCTCCAGGGACCCGCTCTACCAGCTGTTTTGCTGCATCTTCGTCACACTGACAGAAAATCACTGTATAATTAAAAAAGGGAAAATCCTCTTGGAAATCGCTTTATTTGACCGTATGTTTGTTTTAAGAAAGGGGCAAATGTTTGATTTAATGTCAAGCTGCACCACAGAGCTAGTCACGCACATGGGGCCTCGTTGTGTTGCCATAAAAACGGCTGTTTTCCGTTGCAGGAAAGATGCCGTCCCATTCTTTTAACCCCCCACCCACTTTCAATCAAAGCGAGTGTGACTTCTTTGTGCGTGACACTGATGGTTAAGGGTTAGTGCTTAGAGGGCGGTTTGATGTGAAGATGGAGAAGTGCAGGAAGTGGTTTATTTCTGCAGAATAAAAGCAAAACCACGTCCCTTCCTGTTCATCCGCTTATGAATACTTCATAGATGCAATAAACCAACTCCTTCTTTTTGGTTTTGGTTGAAATAAAATGTAATGTGGGCAACAAATAATTAAAGCTATATTTTACTGAATTACTTTGAATCAAATGGTTAAATTGTCTTAAGTAATATTAATTTATTATTAAATACATATTCACAAAATACGCCTTAAAGACGTCCTGTTTGAATTGCATCAGATCTAAACCAGTTCTGTTTGGTTATATTCTCATTTTAAAACCGATTCTGTTGTTCAGTAATTATAAGAATT